TCCCCAAGAATGATCTCGGGCAGCCAAGGTACTGATCATCTGGTTCAGCTCGGGTGGAGTCTTAGTAAGGATATCCCCTCCTGGGCATAGAGACTCGATCACCCTCTGGCTGTCTGGAGTGAGGGCGCTGTAGAAGTTCCCCACTGTGAAAGCATCGCTGAAGCCATGATGGGGACACTGCCAGAAGTAACCCATGTACCGCTCCCATGCATCACGAAGTGACTCATCAGGCTCTTGGCGGAAGTGAGTGATCTCCCGCTGAATCTCTGTAGTCTTCGATGCCGGGTAGTACCGGTGCACGAACTTGTCAGCCAGATCGTCCCAAGAAGTGATGGACAGTGGGGGCTGGGTCTCCAACCACCTCTTAGCATTCCCCGCCAGAGAATGGGGGAAGAGGTGAAGGCGGATTGCGTCATCCGGGACACCGTTCAGCTTGAACCCATTCGTCAGCTGCAGAAAACGAGAAAGATGCACCCGGGCTTCCTCATCCTTCAAGCCATGGAGCTGGATAGAAGATGTAATGAGTTGAATCCAGCATGGCTTGATCTCGAAGTTGTTTGCTGGAATCGGCGGATAGAGGATGACCGGGCGGATGTCAGCAATCCGCGGAGTGTAGTAATACTCCAAGGTGGGACCCGGTGGTGGTGGATGATGATGGACCCCAGCTTCCTGGGGATTGGGGTCGTTCCCCAGGAACTGGTTCTGCGGAGGTGGGTTGTGATCGCCTTCCATCTCGTACTCGTCCTCGGATTCGCTTCTCAATTGGCCGTCTCTGCGCTCCACCGTAGCCAGTCTAGCTCGCTGTTGTTTCCGAAGTTGTTTGCAGGTGCGCTCAATCTCAGGATTCAACGGCAGGAAACCTCCCGACTGGCTACGGGTCATGCACTATTTGCACACAATCAAGCAATGCAAACCCGTGAAGGCACAAGTGGGAAAAACCAAAACTCAATGCAAAAATGAAAATGCTAAAGTAACAGAAATCACTTTTCTTCAACAACCTAGCCGTCCTCGGCAACGACGCCAAAAACTTGACTCGCTGTTACTGTCACCCTAGAAAATGGCCAAGTATAACCACTTCCTAAAGCGTAGTATAGCGGGTTTGGGTTTTATTGTCAACCCGGGTCCTAGATGTGATGACTACTCAGTGAATTCGTATTATCTAGCAATGAAACTTTAGTGAAGTTCTAAACTAACAAGCAAGCAAAGCAACTAAACGGTTGTATTCAGGTTAAGAGAGGTCACCCGGATATGGTTCCCCCTAGACTGCAGTTAAGCCGGGTTGTAATTACCAAGTTCAATTTCTATGATAGTTATACTGCGGAAGGTTCTCAAACAGTCTGAAGTCTCGACTAAAGGTCTTCGGACCCTCTCAATCTGAGTCTCTAGCTGGCGACTAACCTACACCGGAGTAAACAGATTGAGGCCCTAAGAACAAAACCTCCACTACCGGAGTAAAACCGGTACAAAATAGTGAATTGGCTCCTCGACTAAAGTCACCAATTCACTACCTTCGATTAAGGATACTCTATCAACCTAGGCAGATATTATCATTCTAGGTTAAAGCAGAAACAACAGGAATTTGATCAGGATTCATGCCATTCAATCATTCAAACCTCAATCGAATATAATCAATTCATAGAAACAGTACTTGGGTTCATACAATCAAACCTAACATACAGAACTAGGGTTCTCCATACCCAGATGAATGGGAGAACTACTCCATGGAGAGAGAAGCAAAAGCAGAATCAGACGCGGAAATCATACTGTGAAGATGGATTTCTGCTCCTGGACGTTGAATCGGCACTTCTCCAAGCTCAAACCAAGCTCCAATGGTGTTGAAGATCGATCTAAGGCACTTGGAGGCTCTTGTTCGTCGCTTTCTCTCTCTAGGAATCGCTCTGTCTCTCAAAAACTCGAATCCCCTCTGTTTGGATCGGAATCCGCTTAAAAACCAGACTTTCCCGACTCGCACGGCCAGGGTGCACGGCCGTGAACATCACCATTCTGGCCGTGCGACTCAAAACGCGGCGTACCATTAAGTCGAACCTGAGCCATCTCGCACGGCCAGGATTGCACCTTGCACGGCCATGCGGATTTCGCTTGTGCCCGTGCAAGCTCTCGCACCAACCCGCACGGCCAAACGGGTCACTTGCACGGCCGTGCGGGTTTCCTGCTCTGCCCGTGCGTGGCCTCGGCAAAAAGCGCACGGCCAACTTGCTCCATTGCACGACCGTGTGACTCCCTGGTCTGGCATCGTGTAACAACACAGTCTTGCAACTCGGTTGGACTAGGAAGGCATTGGTTGGTGGAGGATGCACGTGGCACTCCTTCGATTGCTCCAAGCTGAACCCATGACGTGGATAAGTGAAAGATGACTCATGATAGCTTGTCCAAACACCATGTAGTGTTGCATCATTCGCTTCCTTGAATCTTACAATGTGGTTCCTTATCTTGTCAGCCTTCCTCATTGGAGAATATTCTTCTAGGAAAGCTTGTTCAAGCGAACCCCATGTTTCAAAGGTCCCATCTGGATGAGATGCAGCCAATCCCGTGCTCTTCCTTTGAAATAGAAAGTGAAGAGCTTTAAGTTAGGACTGCTCCTAAAGACTTCTAGCGCATCACATGGTGTGAGACCAATAAGAAGTATTTTTTAGGTGGTTGGTTGGATCATCATTCTCCTCACCATAAAAAGGACGCTCGTATTCCAGCATTAAGATTCATTCGTTAAGTCCAGGACTGGAATGCGTGGTTTCTGGTGAAGTGATGTAGGATGAGCTCTGTGCTGCTTTAAACAAAAAGAACTCCATTAAGGTGCGTAAGAATCCTTCTCCCATGGCTTTAGTTTGGTTTCATTGGCCCTAGATTGAGATGCAATCAATTACATAGAAGACAAGGCAGAATCTGTAGTTGACAAGCTTCTGCTTTAAAATGGTGCCTAGCCGCCGAAATATGATGAATTTTGGCGCATGTGCTGATATTTTTTCGAGATTTTTCCAATAATAGCACCTTTAAAAAAAAATTACAAAACTAGCACCCTGTCAAAAATATTTACAAAACTAGCACCCTTTTATATTGACCGCACCCTCCAGGTGCGATTTACACATAAATCGCATCCCCCAGGTGCGTTTTACACATAAATCGCACCTTGAGAGTGCGATCTAATTTGGTGGGCCTAAATCGCACCTTGCCCATGCGTTTTCATGTCTGGCCTACATGAAACGCATGGCCGAGGTGCGGTTTAGGCCTGACCTACCTAAACCGCACCTTGGTGATGCGATTTATTTCTCCAAACATGAACCGCATCTGCAAGGTGCGATTTCACCAGGTAGATCGCACCCCCCAGGTGCGGTTTACGTGTCAATTATTTACCGACACCATGCAGAGAATTATGTACGTAGGGTTGCATGGCAGACTAAAACCGCACCCTAGAGGTGCGGTTTTCACAATTTTTTCCCCTATATAAGACTTGCCGGAAAACAGACTCTTCACACCTCTCATTCTCCCTCGCATTCTCTTTCATTTTTCTGTTGTATATCTATATTTATTTAGTGTGTTTGCCATTAAGATTAACTCGTAAGTTTATTTTGTGTTACTTTTTATGCCATTAACTCGTAAGTTTATTTTGTGTTACTTTTTATGCCATTAACATTAACTCGTAACTTTATTTTGTGTGACTTTTTATGCCATTAACATTAACTCGTAACTTTAATTTGTGTTACTTTTTATTGCATTAACATTAACTCGTAAGTTTATTTTGTGTTACTTTTTATTGTTATTTGTGATTTGTGATTTTTATGACATTAACTAAAACTATGGTTTGTTTGTGTGCAGATGGCATTCCGTCAGTTGTTGCTTGGCTTACGGTGGAATGGTTACACGGAAGACACCGGAAAGGGGGCCACCTACGTCGGTGGCAATTTTCAGAAAGTAACGGTCGGTACCAGACCGAAGCTTGAAGACCTCCATCGAATATGCACTGACGTTACTTGCATGGATGGCACGAGGAGGGTAGATCGTATGGTGTACCGATACCCAAACAGAGCAACTGGGTCATTGTGGCATGAGGAATATACCATAACCACTCAAGATGACGTAGATTCCATGCTCGAATTCTTGAGGTCCAACAAATTGGCCAAAGCCGAGATGTTCGTTTACACCGAGCCAGCCGTTAGTGTTGGAGGTCATTCTGGACACGATCAAACATCTGGTATCCATGGTGGAGGTGAATTATATGACGATCATCCCTACCAAAGTTACCATGATCCTCATTCCTATTTTCAGTACCAAGATGGAGGGCAAGGTGCAGGCCATCATCAATCGTTCTCGTCATATGAAGAAGAAGTTCAACCGGACATCCCCAACCAAGCCCAGTACAACTTCCTGACAGGCAGCGGTAGTTTTCACAACTACCATTATGGAGCTGATGAAGGTGCCTTTCATGAGCAGGATCAGACGGAGGCTGCCACACCAGGACCAGTCAGCGACCCCTCTGATGAAGAAGGAGAAAACAACGTCAGTGAAGACAGCTCAGACCCTCTTGAAGGTGCTGATGATTCAGCACCAGATTCGGGTTCAGATAATGATGGTGATGTGGCTCCTGACCGTGTACCAGTCCCCTACTACAATCACATTCCAGACGACAATTGGATGGTCGACAGCGACATGGAGCCGCCAGAGGTCCCAATATGGGGCCCACTCACTGGGTTTGCGAAGGGCCAACAATTTGGCTCGAAGAAGGATGTGCGGCACGCCCTTGAGTTGAACTTGGTCCGGCACCTTGGGTGACAACCAATGGGGGCGGCACACTCCACCCCCCAAATGGTTGTACCTCGGGCTCGATGGGCCTTTCCCGAACCCTCTTCGGCTGCTTTCTCTCGTAGGGTGGTGGGGGTGCGGGGACATCACGTTGTACCTCAGGTGGTGGGGGTGCGGCACGAGGTGGATATCTACGATGATCTCGGCGCTGAGCTCTGATACAGCCAAGTAGACCGTTTGCAATCCTCCTGATGTAGCCCACATCTTCATTGCCCAACTCATTTCTTCCGGTAGTAATATCTTTAATCCGCTCGACCCCATCAACCTAAATCACAAAAAACAAAAAAAGTTACAAAGAGATTTTAGGAACCAAGTAATAAATCATACTATACTTAGACTGGTTATACTTACTAATGCACCATCGGCCGCACCCTCCGGAGTCATGTAACGAACCGATGTTTGCCGATATCGATCCAAGTATGGGTCATGATACCCCATTCGGCCCACTTGATTTGGGGTGACAATATCCTGTAGTTGTCGGTTCTCCCAAATCGCGAAGAATTCCTGCAACTTCGTCGGCCAATCGCGAGTACCTTGCCGACCATCTCGGCCATGGAAGGCCCTTTGACTTGCGGGGACCTCCAACGGAATGCACTGCTCCCGACCAAACTGACGGAGGCATCGATCCGGCAAGTGCCACTCCACGGTCCCAAAACAAATTAGAGGAACCCTCGTGCACCATTGCCCGATATGACCGGGGAATTGCTGGAGATGCCATTGAACGATGTTCTCCGGGTATGGATCGAAGACGATCTATAAGATAGAAATGAGTAACGTAAGATTAATTAATTAGAAAAATACATGTAGTCCCATGAAAAAACAAATATAAATGGATCGCTGTATAGAAGTTACCTCTCCTTCCCAAAGTCGCTCAAACCTCCTCCGATACTCCTCCAACTTGTGTTGGGCAAGGTTGTCGCATGTTGTGTGTCCAAGCCACCTTATTAATATGACAAGAATGAAACTACAATAAGATAAAACACAAGACAAAATGTGTTATGACTACATGATGGGGTATGAGAAGTTTACCTTGCTCCATAAGCTTCACCTCTTAGGGGATGATCGATTGGCCAATCCCTGTCTGGACGTTGGGCCGGTGCAAGCCATGGCATATGCTCCCAAGCCCAAAATTGGACGATGAACATTGCGCCGCCAACCTCCCTCACGGCTTTGTTCGACGCATTGCACAAGTTGTTGTAGATGATAGCTAGGCATGCAGATGCCCAACTATACTCCCCCATCTCCTCCCAACTACTGAAGATGATCCTAAGCCATCCACAACTAAGGAGATTGCTTGCTTTCTTGGAGAAGAACACTCCTCCAATCATGCCTATGAGATAGACACGAGCATATCTCTCCTTCTCATCCTCCGGACTTTCCTCCGTAAGCGGATGACTCTCGTAATGATCTCTAAAATACTTCGTCAACCAAGTAATTGAGACTTGGTGTTTCCTCAATGGTGGCATGCGATCGGTCGCATCAACGTGCCCCTTCACCGGTACTTTCACTCCCAAATGAATGTGGATGAAATGCTGCCAACCGGGCATACCGTCACAATCCTCGGGGGGGTGATCACTCACGCACACCGGTTTGCCGTCGATGGGCAGATGGGTTAGGATGGCGACATCCTTTAGCGTGATGGTGGCCTCCCCAAGTTGAAACAATGGGTCTCCTTTCTCCATCTCTCGGCTAATGCGGTGATGAGTTGACGATCGATTTGGATGCCGTTAAAATGCCTAATCGAGTCTAACCGTGCCCTTTTGAGAAATGGCAAGATAGCGGGGTGGAATGGGAGCACATTTGTGGTACCCCTGTAGCGGATTATTGTTTGTGACTCCTAGGAAAATTTTACACGTTAATTATTATTAGTAAGGGTTTTTTTCGTATAACTAAATTAATTTAATTAAATTATGCAACATAAAACATAATTTTATTATCATAAAAAGACATTTCATATTATCATAAAACATTGTCAATGAATAATAATTTAAAGAGGTACATACATATTATCGTAAAACAAACATATTTAATTAATTAACATAAATAACATTGTTAATGAATAATAATTTAAGTAGAAACATACATATTCAAATGTTTGGTAAATAATTTAATCGTGTTGGTGGTTTTAAATAATTTAATCGAATACAAAGCAACACTCGTTAGACTCTTAGAAGAGGTATACATCTTCTTAGAAACGCAGTCTTTTTGACAGAAAAAGGGGGGATCCGAGGATCTCTTAATACCCGATTTTCCCAGGTAATGGGAGGATATGATAATCGCTTAAAACCCCATTTCCTTAGACGTGCATCTCTTTATAAAGAGTCGAAGTAAGTGGCGCTATGTATTCGATTAAATTATTGAAAACCACCAACACGATTAAAAAATAAACATAAATTTATTTTATATTACACTAGGCACATTAACAAAATAAAAGAAGGACAAATGGTGAAGAATTGTATGTACCGGGTGATCGTTCCAAACATCCCTTGACCGATGGTTGGGTTGGTCGTACAAGTCGGTTGGATCCACCGGTCCTTGCTCGAGATAATACCTTTGGTTGTATATATCGACGCCCTCCCCAACCTACGAGAAAATAACTAGGTTATTACATAGATTAATTAAAAAACTTATAACAACAATAAAAATTAAACCAGAATGATGAGTACATACCGCTTGAAATTCATCGACGTAAACTCCTTCTCCTTGCCACCAATCGGCCATTTTTTCGGCGTAATTCGGACAGAGCTTCGGCTCGGCTCGGCGGGTTTTTGAGGAAAAAACCTAAGAAATATTTTCTGATGGCAGATCGGACTTAGCCGCAACCAACAGACTTTTATTTCCTAGGCTTTTGGGAGGGGAGGGTTTAGAGAGATTATATCTAGAGAGAGAAGGAGAATGGGTTGTGTGGAGTGAAGAAATGAGAGGGGGAGGGGGGGTATTTATACCCAACAGATCGCACCCCTCGGGGGCGGTAGGGTAATTTTACCCCGTAGAAATCGCATCCCCCCGGTGCGATATCCACGCCAAATCGCATTCCCCAGATGCGATCCCCGCGTCCCGATGCGTTGAACGCGCAGAAAACTGACGCTCCAATTCTCCAGGCGAGAAATCGCACCTCACCAGTGCGATCCACACTCAGTCGCGCGGATTGCTGACGTGGCTATGCTGCAGCCCGTCAGATCGCATCTTAATCGTGCGATCCAGAAGGTCGCTGGCGACCAAACTTGGAACGCATCTTGGGGATGCGTTTTACCATAGAAATCGCATCTTAGGGGTGCGATTTATGAAGGAAACGCATTCTAAGGCTGCGTTTCATTTATAAATCGCACCTCTAAGGTGCGATTCATTAAAATAGGTGCTAGTTTTGTAATTAGTTTTGGAAGAGTGCTAGTTTTGTAATTTTTTTTTTAAAGGTGCTATTTCTGGAAAAAACTCTATTTTTTCAGGTTCATGGGTTCTGTCCCAGCTTACAGTCCACACACACAAACGAGCAGACAACGATACCTTTTGTCTTTTATTTTTGTTCACAAATTTTATTTTTTAAAATGTTTAACGATCGTAAAATCGTATCGGATGTTGTATCGAATAAGTGAATGACAAAGTATTTTATGACTAATTTGCGATTTGTGTAATAATTTCAAATCGGAAATTTTTTATATAGACTTGAATTTCGATAGCCGAATTTTAAATCAAACCAACCAGTACGGCTAGAAACCAATAAATATTTTGTGATCAAACTCACTTGTTATCATGTATTTCAATTTAAAACACTTATAATATTTGTACAACACATAAGGTATATTTCATGCGAATATTGTATTTGCTTTATGACAAATAAAAGTTATTAGATTAAGAAACATGAATTAAGGAAATTTTATTCATGACTTAGAAAAAAGGGAGAGAGAAGGAGGAGAGAAAGAGAAAGGATCTGGAAGGAGATTGGGAGAGAAAAAGTAGGAGAGAAGGAAGAGAGAAAGAGAAAGGAGAGTGCAGAGAAATGATTATTTCTCTTAGCTCCTTTGAAAATGCAGTCATTAAAAGTGGGATGAAATAAAATAAAAAATTAAAATTTATAAACGGACTAAAATGCCCCTCCGGACCCCGCATTCAGCCTAGCCGCATTATGGATCAGGCCCTTAATCTATGATGTGCGTGCAGTTACTGACTTTATCCCATGCCCAGGTACTATCACCCACCTCTACTCATCTCAGTAGTGAAATGGTGTCTGTGGTTGATGTGGGATGAACAAAAACTAAGATGGTTTTATTGTCACTCGTTTGTTGAAGCTCAAAGCTCCTCTTTATATTTGTCTTTAATTAGAAGTTGGTGAATTGAATTGCTGACTCTAGTTGGTAGATGGGGCAATAGAGTATATGGGAACAGTTTGATTTGTTAGGATATTTAGCTCGATTTGTGTTTTGTAATTTTTGCGGGAATCATTGTATCCATTCGCTTGAGGGAAAAGTTGAGGTACACACCTACATGCATTGTGAAAAAATTCATTGGAGTGGAGGAATCACAGAATGAAAAAAAAAACATTTAGCTAAAATTAGTGGCGATAATACTATATGCCCAAAGGTGCCTCATGAGGTTCGCCAAAATTTGTTGAAACATGTGACTGAATATGAATCTAATAAGAAGAAAAATGAAGCTATCAAAACTGAATTCAATAAACCTCATGGTAATGGTTCTATTGCACAAAATGATGGTAGTAGTTTTCAAACAGTTGCAACTTCCAAAGATATGTCTAGGGGTTTGGTTGACACATTGTTTGCTCCACGATGGCCTCCGGGTAGCCAACAAAAAAAAAAAATAAAGAGTGCCTTATTATTTTGTCAAACATTAAAAACAAAAGTGATGTATATTTAACCTAGGTAATGTTTATTCGTGCTTCTAAAGCTTTTGAGTATTTCAACATATAAGGGTCGTTTGGAAGTTGTGATTGTTAGAGTTGTGATTGTTGAATACATGTATTGTGCACAATACAATGTTTGAAAGTGTCAAAGTGTAAAACAATGCATGCATTGTTTTAGGTAGGTCCCACCAACAATCACAAAAAATGATGCATTATACAATCTCAACTAAAAGTTGAGATTGTTGTGATTGTTGGTTTTAGATTTGTGTCAACTTTTTCTTTCCATTTATATCCTTAATAGTTTTTGTCTTATTATAAAACTTGAGGGTAAATGTGACATTTCCTCATAAAGTAACTTTATGTAAATCAATGCATAAAATAGAATCTCAACAACCAAACAATGTATTGTTAAAATACATCTATTGTATGAATACATGCATTAATATTATGGTGATTCATTACAATGCAATGATTTAACATTCGCAACTTCCAAACGACCCCTAATTATTTGTCTCTAAACGACCAACAAGAAACACTTTACAAATATCTAATATTATATATTAGAGGCATGACTTTAGCATGATTGTTGAAACTTAGGAGTCTATTCGCTCGCTAGTGTTAGTTGTGCGTAAACACACCAATCAACACAAAATCAATTAGATACAAATATTTTAGTATTATTTTTTTTAAGAAATTCGAGTCAATTTAGAGTCCGACTATGCCACCAAACAAAATCACTCAACTTTCAACACCCTGAATTGATCATTCCCTTGGATCGACCTCGCACCATGCAGACTTTGATCTGAAATGTCTGAAATGGACAAGAGTGTGTAT